TAAAGTTTTCACTTTTTGCATCATATTCACATGTGGCTATATGCCATTTTCTCTTCAAAGTTTTATCTTGATTACTTATCAGAAGCTTGACTGTTTTATTATCTTAGTCTTTTGAAAGAATCCTCCTGTAGTTTTATTTTTTAAATCTAGTGGGGTTTTTTTTCACGTTTTCCTTATGTCTTAATTAATTCCCCTTTTTGTTTATTTTGCTTTTTCTAATTTAGTGGATCAATGTAATTTAAATTGCTTTTTAAACAAACGCGTAAGGGTATATATTTTCTTTGGGTGCTGTTTGACTTTATTGCACAAGTTTTAAAATCTGTTTTCTAAATACTTTGTATTTTCTAAGTCATTTTATTGCATCCTGTGTTCACATTGCTCTTACTATTGAAACTTTTTATTGTGAGGTATGACATGTATTGAAATTATGTGAAACGTAAGCTTAGTGTAACATATAGTTAGAGTGAGTATTTGGGAACTAACACCTAGCCAGCACCAAGGTGAAGAGAAGGCACATTGCTTGCACTACAGAAACCTTCTGCAGGCTGCTTCCTGATCGCCGTGCCTCTGTACACTCATCTTGCCTTATGTTTCTCTAGTGTTATCACTCACGTATGCATCCTTGAACAATACAGTGTAGTGTTGCCTTTTGTTTGATTCGAAAATCATAGTATATATTTTTTCAGATCTTTGTTGTACTCAATATTGTATGTGAAATTTGTTCCTATTGTGCGTAGCTATCGTTCTTTTGCTTTGCTGTATTTACTCCATTGTTTGAATACACCATACCATTTATCCCCTTGACTAGATACAGACATGTGGGTTGTTTCCAGTGTTATTAGGAACAGTGAATGCTGCTATGATCATTCTTGTCTGTATTTCATGGTACCCCTGTGCCAGCATTTCTCTGGGGCACATACTTAGGGGTTGGATGACTGACACATGAGGATCAATTTCTTCTCTTACCCAAGAGTTATCTAAGAAAAAAAAACTTTTTAAAAAGTATTTTCGCCGGGCATGGTGGCTCACACCTGTAATCCCAACACTTCGGGAGGCCGAGGCGGGTGGATCATGAGGTCAGGAGATCGAGACTGTCCTGGCTAATATGGTGAAACCCCGTCTCTACTAACAATACAAAAAAATTAGCCGGTCATGATGGTGGGCGCCTGTAGTCCCAGCTACTTGGGAGGCTGAAGAATGGCATGAGCCTGGGAGGCGGAGGTTGCAGTGAGCCGAGATTGCGCCATCGCACTCCAGCCTGGGCGACAGAGTGAGACTCCGTATCAAAAAAAAAAAAGGCATTTTCAGGTGGCTTTTAAATTATTTTTAGTGCATCAGTATGGTCAGAGAGTATGGCCTGTGACCTTTCAGCTAGATTATCAGCAATCATTTACACTTCACTATTGGTGTTACTGTTGTCTTTGCTTATTGCTACTTCTGTATTATGTCTCCTGCTCTCTGCTCCTCAGGTATATCCCTGAATAATATCCTGGGCTTTTTTTTTTTTTCCTAGAAAGTGTTTGTGTGGGTGTGTATGGAGAGTGTTCCATGAACTTGCTGTCTGTTATCATTTGTTCAATAAATATCTGACTCTGTTTAAAGTAGTCCATCCATATCAGTGTGGAGAATCCGGAGGCAAACATACACAGATAGGCTTCCTGTATGAATGGAGCTAGATATAGAATTCTGAGGTCATAATTGAGTTTATTTCCAGGTCTTTACCCTTTTATGTTCTGCTGTTTATTATTACAGATGAAAAATCTGATATCTGTCTGATTCTTAGTTCTTTCTGGTAGTTAGGATGATTTTCTCTGTAAGTGTAAAGTGTGGAAGTTTCACTTTTTAGTATTCCTTTTTTGTTTTTTTTTGTTTGTTTGTTTCGTTTTGTTTTGTTGAGACAGAGTCTTGCTCTGTTGCCCAGGCTGGAGTGTGGAGTGCAGTGGTGTGATCATAGCTTGCTGCATCCTCTACCTCCTGGGCACAAGCAGTCCTCCCACCTCAGCCTCCTGAGTAGCTGGGACTACAGGTGTGCATCACCATGTACAGCTAATTTTAAATTTTTTTCCGTGGAGATGAGTTTTTACCATGTTGCCCAGTCTGGTCTTGAACTCCGGGGCTCAAGTGATCCTCCTGCCTTGGCCTCCCAAAGTGTTGGTATTACAGGCATGAGCCACTGTGTCCAGCCTTCAGTATTCCTTTGGGCATTCAGAGTCACTTAATATTCTAATGTCTTTCTTCAGCTCAGCAGTATCTGTCTTCTTTCTTTCTTTTTATTCTCTTCCATTCTCTGGATGAATGTTAGATTTCTATATCTTCCATGTCCCTTAACTATTCTTTTACTTACATCTCTGCTGTTTTTTCCTTCAATCTGCTTTTTTTCTCTGTTCTAAGGGAACATCACAATTTGGTGGTTTTGGTTTTTGTTTTTGTTTTTGTTTTTGAGACAGTCTCGCTCTGTCACCCAGGCTGGGGAGTAGTGGCGCGATCTCGACTCACTGTAACCTCCGCCTCCCGGGTTCAAGTGATTCTCCTGCCTCAGCCTCCTGAGTAGGTGGGACTACAGATGTGTGCCATCATGCCTGGCTAATTTTTTTGTATTTTTAGTAGAGACAGGGTTTCACCATGTTTTAGCCAGGATGGTCTCTGTCTCCTGACCTCGTGATCTGGTTGCCTCAGCCTCTCAAAGTACCGGGATTATAGACATAAGCCACTGTAAATGCTTTGCTGAGTCAAGTCCATTGTGCTCTGGCCCTTCTACAGTTTTTTTTTTCTTTTTTTTTGGGGGGGGGGTCTTATTTTTTACCTCCTAGAATTATCTTTTGCATGGTAATCTGTTTTGTATTTTGTGGATACAGTATCTTCTCAATTACTGCTAAAGATTCCAATTAGGTTTTACAATTCTGTTTATTTCCTTCATTAGCAGTGCTTCAGATCATTTGTGCTTCTTTGACTTGGCACCTTCCTTTCAGGTTGCTAATTTTCTTCAACTCTCTGATGATACATGGTTATCTGTTCATTTATAGATGAGGTATACCTTTGATCAGTATCAGTTATTATGAGTGTCTTCAGAATTGTCACTCTTTTCTGCTGTGGCCTCCCCCTCCTGGTTTGCAGACCTGTGCTCTTCCTGTGGCATGAGGATGGGGAGGTGCTGGCCGGTGAGCTTTCTAGCTCCTGAGCTAGCAGGAAGAGGCAGAGTCTGTTATAAGATTTTGCTACTGCATTGAGTTATATTGAAAACATTCTGTCTTTTCTCTCTGGTTTTGACAGTCATAGTAAGAGACCTTCAAGATAGGCTTCCTATTAGCTGAGTGATCCTTACCAACTATAGTTGGGACAAGTGTTGTGAAGAATGGTTCTTCAAACAAAAGTGGTCCCTCCGTTATTTGGATTGGGTTTGTGGCTTTCTTGAGCCCAGCAGTCTGATTCCATCTGCTTTGTATCTTCCAGCATGTCCTTATAGTTTTGGTTCACTAAGGGTATTCTTTTTATATTTGTTATTTTTCTGCTGCTGCAGCAGACTTAGTGTCTTTTATAAAATTATGTCATTTCAGTGGGGTTTTGGAAAGAGGACCAGACCATAGCTTGAAATGAAATTAATCTTAAGATTTCACAGCCCTAAATCACTTTTTGTTTTGATTAAATTACTTCCCGTTTTTGAGGGGGTAGGGGCTCAGCTTTCTCATGTGTAAAATGAAGGATAGTAACTGGGCTAGTGGTGACAGAACCAGATGTATTTGAGAATCACCTCAGAGAACATTTGCAAAACAGATTCTTTGGGTAGGCTTTAAAATTAGCATCTCAAAAATGTTCTTTCGACCACTGATGTAACCAAACTCTTTGTGACTTTGAGGCTGGGTATATATTCTTTAGATACCCAGAATAATTGGATTTGGAATATAACAATGTAGGGAAATGAAGAAGGGGCGAATTACATTTTGGAAGCTGCTGCCTGCTTCTTTTTTCCATTTAGTTTTTAGAAAACAAAGAATGTCTAAAGAGATGCAGATTTAAAGGAAATATAAGTTAATTCTGCATGGAAATGTTTGTCTACATGACATTCTCCAGCTGGCTCATCCAGAGGAGTTCTCATGCCCTCTGCAATCATGGGTTTGTTTTTCTTGAGAATTATTCCAGCAGAGTATCTAATAACAGATACTTGGATACTCCTGAGACCTTTGTTGGTCTTGATTTCTGGATCCTAGTTTCTTGATCTTTTACATATTCTGGGTTCTAACCTGAACTGGCCTGGTTAAAGATGCATTTATATGCTGTGTCCTGGCCAGGAAGCTTGTCTTTTGAACTTTGACCAAACTGGGTATGAAGGCACTTCCTAAAAAATCATTAGGTTCATTTCTGAACTTGATAATTGTAATTTGTGTTAATTGGTAAATTGTGTCTTTTAGAGAGATATTTGATAGTAAATTACAAGTTTCTTGAAAGAAAATTTGCCTTATAGTGAGGTGGTAATCATGTCATAATTCTTAGTTTTGGGAAGTGTCTATTATAAGTAACACATCTGACCTATTAAAATGTAAGGCAATTGAATTTATGTGGTGATTCAGGCTTTTCAAAGTTAAAAAAGTAGCTATTTTAAGGAATTGATAGTTTGGGAGATTTATTTTAAACAAAATAAGCCTTTGATTTTATGCACATAGCCATATAAGTAAAATGTTTCCTTATTTTAAATTAGATTATGTTTTAATTTTTTTTTTCAGTTTTGCTTTGTATTTGACTGATTGCTTTTCTTTATTCCTAAGGCACCCATTAAGTTGAATTGTTCAAAATTGTTTTATTTTTAAAAGCTGAGAACTGTTCTTTGTCAAATCAATGTTGGATTTCAAAATGAAAATTTTAATTTTAATAAGCTCTCTGGTAGTGGGACTGCAGTGACAGATGGTTGAGAGTTTGTCCCTAAAGCTATGACACCAGTCTTCTAATGTACTCAACCTGTGCATACTTGTTCTGTGTAGCCCTGGCAGATTCTTTCTCTATTTCAGAATAGGACAACGGAAGAAGTGACTTCAAAAGAAAAGGAAGAAGAGATGGCTGAAGTAGGTATTTTATATAAGAATGACATTTTGGCTGGGTGAGGTGGCTCACGCCTGTAATCCCAGCACTTTGGGAGGCCAAGGCGGATGGCTCACCTGAAGTCAGGAGTTCGAGACCAGCCTGGCCAACGTGGTGAAACTCTGTCTCTACCAAAAGCACAAAAATGAGCCAGGCATAGTGGTGGGCACCTGTAATCCCAGCTACTCGGGAGACTGAGGCAGGAGAATCGCTTGAACCTGGGAGGCGGAGGTTGCAGTGAGCAAAGATCGTGCCACTGCACTCCAGTCTGGGTGACAAGAGAGAGACTCTGTCTCAAAATAAAATAAATTATAAATATCTTCATTTTTGAACATTTGAGTAATTCTCTTATCTCCTTTATAAACTACTACTAAAGTGCAATAATTGAAAGCACATTGTATTTGGAATGGAATGTAATTTATAAATTTTGTCTTTACCTCTAACTCATGATATGCCTTTGAGCAAACTGTTTTATCTGAATTCTTGTATTTGATTTTCTGGAAAACAAAAGCTCTTAACTTTTAGCACTAAAATTATATTTAATACTAATCAGTTCTTAACCTGTATTTGGTTAGTTTTTGGAAGAGGAACTACTGAGTTTAAAAAATTTTATGTTTCCACAGAAGGAGAGTTTGAGAATATTTTAGGTACTACTCACCAGAAGTAGTGAAACTGTCTCTTGTTGAAAAATCATCAAAGAAATTTGTCTTAGTCTGTTTTATAGTGTTGTAACAGAATAGCAGAGAGTGAGTAATTTATAAAGAACAGTCATTTATTTTCTGACAGTTCTGGAGTCTGGGAAATCCAAGATGAAAATATCAACATTTGGTGTCTCAGGGTCTTCTTGTTGCATTCTCATGTGGTAGCAGGCAGAAGGGCAGGAGAGCAAGCTAGTCCAATGTGTGAAGCCTTATTTGTAAGGGACTTAATCCCATTAAGGAGGCAGGAGCCCTGTTGGCCTAATCACCTCTTCAAAGTCCTACCTATTAATATCATCACATTGGCAACACTTGAATTTTGGAGGGAATACATTCCAACAGTAGCAAATTTAGTACAGCAAATTCCAAAGACATTGAGCCTAGGCCAGTTGTCAGTCATGGGTATAATTTTAGAGGTTTTCAGGCTCTGAAGCTTTGCATTTAAATTCAAACCTCACAACAAAGATCTGTGTCTCTTCTTTGACCAAATAGAAGGTATGTGAATTCCATGGTATTGATTGTTTTAAAAGACTTTTTCTGTTTGGGGTCTTATAATTTAGACTTTCATTTTCTTGGTTTGGAAATTATTAATCTAAAATATACTTTAGAGTGCTTCTGAACTAAAGAAGTAGTGTTGTAGGATTGTTTTTGCTTGTTTGTTTTTTGAGACAGGGTTTCACTGTCACCCAGGCTGGAGTGCAGTAGCGCGGGCACAGCTCACTGTAACCTTGAACTCAAGTGATCCTTCTGAGTATCTGGGACTACAGGTGGGTGCCCCACATCCAGCTAATTTATTTTTTATTTTTTAATTTTTGTGGAGTTTGAGTCTCGCTCTGTTGCCCAGGCTGGTCTTGAAGTCCTGGCCTCAGTTGATCCACCACCTCGGCCTCCCAAAGTGCTGGGATTACAAGCATGTGCCACTGTGCCTGGCTGTAGGCTTGTTTTATGATTCTGGGAGTAAAATACTTCTTAAAATTGTCCAAGTAGAATAAGAGTTTGTTTTAATGTTTTTATGCAGTTTATTTTAGGTGGAATAAACTGCATGAAAACATCAAACCTTTTCCGTGTGTCAGGCGGCCATTGTACTAAGGTTCACGAACCCTTTCATTTTCCCTTCACAAGATAATAAACACGTGACTGCAACTTTGAGAGAAATCTAGAAAGGCAGGAGACTGGACTTTGGAGATGTCAGATTAGGACAGGTGAAACGCAGATATTCTAGGCTCCTAAAATAACGTGGAAACAGGCCCAGAACAACCTTGGACCTGGTGTGTTTGGGTTCATTGGATATGTTTCTTTTGAGAAGGAAGGTTGATGTGTTAAGTCATGGAAAGTAAGATTGGCCAGAAAAGGCAGATGGTTAAAAGTCTTGAATTCAAGACAGGCATGTTTCTATTTGGTGTGATTGTTGATAGGAAGGCCTTTATCAGGGAATCGTGTGCTGAGAATATTGTTTTAGAAAGATATGTTGAATTCTGTTTGGGATGTGCTGATTAATATTTAGGTGGAGAAATTTTGTGGATGGGAACATGACTGAGGTTGAAGGTACAGGTGGAAATACAGGCCAAAGGCATTTGTAAGCATTGTGAGGAAAACAAGCGTAGGATGGAAGATCAGGGCTGAAAGGTGCACACAGGAAGAAGGGAGCTCCATGAAGTACAGAGTCATGGGCAGAATTTGAGTGGTGGTAGACAGGAATCTGATCTAGAAATCAGTGAATTGGCCAGCTTGGGAAAAAAAATCGAGATAAATATAAATACTCCTTTAGAGATTTTGGCAATTGAAGTAGAAAAATAAGGTAATTGAACAAAGTTAGGATTTAAACAATTCTGCATGTATTTGTATATATGTAGGAACATAGTATGGGAATGGAGGCAGCAGGGTGATGTGAATAAAGATGTTGTTCTGGGGGGTATTATTCAAATTATCTTTAAATTATTATTATTTTTTGAGATAGGGTCTCTGTGACCCAGGCTGGAGTGCAGTGGCATGATCATAACTTACTGCAGCCTCAAACTCCTCGGCCCAAACGATTCTTCTATTTCAGCCTTCTGAGCACCTGAGATAAAATTCTTTCTCTAACTTATATTTTAGTTATTAATGTCAATAGATGCTTACTACATAAAATCATAAACTTGGAAATTAGGGGAAAGCGCCAAATGTCTCCAGAGATAACAACAAAAATTAATTGAAATTAACCTTTCAATATAAGTTCTTCTGGTCTTTTTCTGTGCTTATTTCAGCATAATTGAAATTCTTTCTATTCCTTTGTGTATTCCATTTTTCATTTCAAAGTTTTTTGATACAGGAGAAATTATGCTGTGTTGGTATTTTGGTGGCCTCTTAATAGTTAATGGAGTTAACTGTTTTGCTATTTTTGCACATGCAGATTTTGTGTTTTTGTGGTTGCAAGGTTGAAACAGGTATCCTTATGCCTAAATTTGTGTTTACATCTTAGACTGGTTTCTTGGAATACAATTCTAGAATTTGAGTTTCTGGAACAAACTATGGACAGTTAAGGTTCTTGACACCTGCTGCTACACTGTTTCAAAGGTGCCTCCTAAGAGGAGATTTAAAAGATGGCTTGGCTGGGTGTGGTGTCTCGCGCTGGTAATCCCAGCACTTTGGGAGGCTGAGGTGGGCGGATCACCTGAGGTCAGAAGTTTGAGACTAGACTGGCCAACATGGTGAAACCCTGTCTCTACTAAAAGTACAAAGAAATTACCTGGGCTTGGTGGTGTACATCTGTAATCCCAGCTACTCAGGAGACTGGGGCATGAGAATCACTTGAACCTGGGAGGCAGAGGTTGCAGTGAGCAGAGATTGCCCAACTATACTCCCGCCTGGGTGACAGAGTGAGACTCTATCTTAAAAAAATAAAATAAATTGAATAAAGAAGTAAATAAAAAAATGATGGTTTATTTTGTTATAGTTGTGACTTTGTAAAGCTTTTAAATCTGCTTTACCCAGAGTCTAACTTTTAAATAATATATAAGATATAAAAGGTGAGAGCCTCTTGAATGGAATGTGGGGCTTTTTCTCTCTCCCCATAGGATAGATATATTCTGTTTATTGTCCCCCATTGAGTCAAGAATAATTTAACTTTTGGCATGAGAAACTGCTGAAGAAAAATAGGTTCAATAAGCTAACATTTTTCTTCTTTTTGCAGGATATAGACGACTTAGATCACTATGAGATGAAAGAAGAGCCTATTAATGGGAAAAAGTTGAAGGATGAAGGAACTGAAAAAGAAAATTGGGCAATATTAGAGAAAATTAGGAAGACTGAAAGGCAAGACCATTTAAATGTGTAATTGTGTATCAATATCTGGAGCCTGGACTTTTTGGTCAAGTAATTATAGTTAACACAAGGCAATTCATGAACATGCTGATCTCAGCTGCTCTCCTCCTCCATTCCTGCTTTAGTGGTGGATTCAGTCATTTGTTTATTGATTTTGAGACAGGGTCTTGCTCTGTCGCCTGGGCTAGAGTGCGGTGGCACAATCATAGTTCACTGTAGCCTTTATTTCCCAGGCTCCAGTGGTCCTCCTGCCTCCAGTGGTCCTCCTGCCTCCAGTGGTCCTCCTGCCTCAGCCTCCCAAGTGTCTCAGACTATAGGCATGTGACACTGCACCAGGCTAATTTTTTTGATTTTTAGTAGAAATGAGGTCTCACTCTGTTGACCATGCTGGTCTTAAACACCTGAGTTCAAACAGTCCTCTTACCTCGGCCTGCCCAAGTGCTGGGATTACAGACATGAGCCACCATGCCCAGCCACAGTCATATGTTTTGCTGCCCACGGTTATCTTTCTTGTCTACGAATAGCCACTTTTTACCCTGTTCATCTGCTCTTCACATCCTGGAACCACCTGCTGATCCCTGTATATGCCCCTTTCCAGCTGTCTATGCTGTTTTCTCTGCTGACCTTCCTTCTGTGGCATCTGTATATTCAAATTCATTCTCTCCTACAGAACACAACTCAAATTATTTCTCCTTCATGAAGCTGACTTCGATCCATCCTGCTCTGACCAAACCAAAAGTAATGTTTCTCTTTTGACTTAACATCTCTTTTATTTAAAGTGGCAGGATGGGAAAGGAACACTGAGTTTGGTGACAAACACACCTTGTATGGTTTCACTTTGCTCAACTCTAAAATATGGTTAGACAGTACATACCTTTTGGGTGATTGCTATGAAAAATAAATGAGAATTAACTGTGTGTATACGTAAAATACTTAAGAGTAGGGAAACATCAAATGATTGTCTGAACACTTACTGCTTCCTGCCTTGTATTAGAGCTATTTACTAACTCCATGAAAGCTGAGGACCAGTTACTTTGTATTGGGCACAGGTTCTCCAAAACAGGGAATGAATTGCTAGGCAAGTAGATGCCAAATGTTGAAATCAGATAGATAACTCTCCCTCCTTCAATCTTGTTTATATATTAATTTAATTGGTAATTTTTCATAGAGCAAAGAAATTTAGTCAATCCCCCATGTCTTGATTATTTAAAACACTAAAACTGTAGCATTTGAATTAATGTTACTGTACTTTCTGTGTTTTGTGATCGATTCCAGTTTGAGTTATCTTCAAAACAAGTATAAATTATTGAACACTTTTGCATGACCGATACTATGCTAAGTACTTTATAGATCTTTTCATTTAGTCTTCATAGCCACTGTATGAAATAGGTGCTCTTTATATTTTAGAGATAGGAAAAACTTCTCATATTTTATAGATATGAAATGAGTTCATGATCACATAGCTAAGAAGTAATATCTTCATAAACTAGATTTTTTTCTCCTTCAAAGCATAGTATAGTGCAATCATTAAAATCTTTAGTTTCACATGACCAAAAAGTAGTTCCATTTCTATTTAGTGCTAGGATAAGATATCAATGTGTTTTCATCCTTATAGAAGTCCCTGCACGAAAAACTGAAATGAGTTGCATGTAGGCACACATGGTTCTCAGTGTCTTAATGGGTGAACTAGACCATCTGTGTAATATTCTTGCTTGTAGTCTTATGAATGGAAGTCTATTCTAGTTAATAATTTGTTACCTTGAGTGCCTTCTAGTATTTTCAAAAATCGCTGGGATTTGGAATAGACTCATACTGAATTCTCTGTTATCGTGGAGTCCATGGTGGTCTGAACATGTTGGCTAGAGTTTTTCAGATGATAAAAAATAGGAAATGAACCAGACTTTTGTCTAGTTTTATATTCTTTTGAGACTTCATAATGCTTCATTTAATTGGACTGTTTTTTTAGTTCTTAAAATGTTGAGTGGTAATCCATTTTTATTGTAATTTCTCTCTTTCTTTTTTTTTTTTTTTTCTTTTGAGATGGAGTCTTGCTCTGTGGCCCAGGCCAGAGTGCTGTGGTGCCATCTCAGCTCACTACTACCTCCACCTTCCGGGTTCAAGTGATTCTCTTGCCTCAGCTTCCTGAGTAGCTGAAATTAGTTGCATATAGGCACACAGGCGCATGCAACCAGGCCCAGCCAACTTCTGTATTTTTGTAGTGGAGATGGGGTGTCATCCTGATGGCCAAGGTGGTTTCAAACTCCCGGCCTCAGGTGATCCACCCTCCTCAGCCTCCCAAAGTGCTGGGATTACAGGTGTGAGCCCCCTGCCTGGCTACTGTAATCTTTTAGAGCAGGTTGAAATACCTTAAATCTTCAAATTAGTTGGCTCAGTAGACCCTGGTAAACAGTGGCTTTTGTGTTTCAGGCTGCAGTGTCTGGGTCAGTGCAAGCTTCAGATAGATTTATGAAAGAACTCGGAAACATATATAGATCACAGAGTTATAAGACAGGTAAGGATCTCTAAATCCCTGCTCTTATTGTTCTTTTGTTCTTTTCTGTTGTCAGATTATAAATATCATTTCTTAAAACTGGACAGAAATGGAAATGTTTACTAGCCTTAATTTGTGAAACTCAAATGCAATCAAGTTCCAAAAGATGTAGGACACAAGATAGGATGAGTTTGCTTGTTTTTTGGATTTGAAGAAATTGTTTTTGTAGGTCCATCGGAATTTTTTTGTCATCTTCCTGATAGAGTGAACATTTACATGATTTTTATCTTCTGGCAAAAAGCTTGAACAATATTGCCTGGTAAGTAAATAAGAGTAATACATTTCATTATACAGAGAATGATTGCCAAGTTGATTTTTGTGATTTTTCCCCCCAGTTTTGAAAGCAACATAATCAACTCTTATTGTGGAGGTAGTTATGTTATTACTTTAAAAATATATAGGTGGAGTACACCTGTAGTCCCAGCTACCAGGGGTGGTGGGAGGCTGAGGCAGGAAGATCTTTTGAGCTTGGAGAAGTCAAGGCTGCAAAGAGCTGTGATTGCACCATTATATTCCAGCCCGGGTGACAGAGTGAGACAGCCTGTCTCTTAAAAAAAAAAGGGGGTATTTGGGGTAGGATTCATATTGGACATGTATATATAGGACAGTTGTAGAAAAATATCAATTTTTTAGTGATTTAGCTTTTGATAGTTCCGTCCATGGCAAATTTTTCTCCTTGAACATCTTGGCTTATAATACAAGTTTAGGAAAGCATAGTAAACTTTTTTTGAATTCTTGAGAACATTATATACATGTGACTATTTTCCTTTAGAATGACTGCAAACTCTGAACCCCCTTATTAGATTAGATTTAGGCTATTATGATCTCTTTGGGACATTTATTCTAAAGGAGCTCGAAGCTATAATGGCCTCTATTTTTCCTGGGGATATACAGCAGCTTAAGATCTTCTCTTTCTGGAACTTACCCTAGGTGCTCTATTTTAACTTTCAGATTTTTTCATTTTTGAGTTAGTAAAAATAAAAAATCTCTTTGTATTTGAATTATATTTTTGTTTTGTAATTCTTAGGGTTGACCCTGACAGTGCTTTGCACAGTGATCTTCAGATTGTAAAAGAAAAAGAAGGGATAGGAGACATTTTGCTCAACTTATCTTTTAAGGTAAGAAATTGTTATGGGACTCTATATCCTCCTAATGGAGGTGTATATTTGTACAAGTGTTTGGAAAACAACTTGGTAAAGGGAAGATACTCATACCCTATGGTTCAGGAATCTCGTGGATATATACTCCACAAGAAATGAGTACGTAAGCATTAGGAGACACAGGAATCTTCAGACAGTATCGTTTATAATAGCCCCAAACAGAAAATAACCCAAATGTTCATTCCAATAAAATGGAGAATTATGGTATTCATAGAATGGCTTACAGCTATGTGGGATAAGATGGGCGAATCTTGAACACTACGTTAAACAAAAGAGACCAGACCCCCAAAACCTAATTTGTACAATTTCCTCTATGTAGAGTTCAAAAATAGGCAAAATGTTGGTTAGGGCATACATTCTTAGTAGAGGAAATATTGCCTGCAGTGGAGTGAAAACTGGTCCTTAGAGTGAAAGAAAATCTTACCTATTATAATGGTCTGCTGCCCTCCAAAGGGATGTAAACATAAATAGATATACACAATATATCTGTGGTGTTAAAATTCCATGGGGCATGGGGGTAGAATTAGGAAGAAAACTTCTAAAAAGGCTTCTTAGGGGGACAAAAATGAAAAGAAAACTGAGAAACACTCTTATGGATTCATACTTGGGCAGTAAAACTATCAAGAACAAAGAGGTGGTTACACACAGGGTAAGTAAAGAAACTGTTTTAGAATAAATCTGGTGACAGCAGAAGAGAATATGAGACACACTGTGCTCACAGAGCCATCGAGGTGGGAGGTAGGGAGGTGTGAACTGAAAGGTACAACTGTGGGCTTCTTGGATACTGGCTGTAATATATTTCGGGACCAGGTTGGTGGGTATTTGGGCAAATAATTTACAATAACTTAAGCTATACCTTAAGGTATATTTTATGTACTTTTCTGAATGTATGTGTTATATTTAATAAAGTATTTTTAAGATACTAAAAATAAAGGTTACCAAAGAATAACAATGGAATCTAGAAAAAATGTTAATGATCTAATATGAAATCTAGATAAGATATAATGGTTTAAAATCTATGGCTATAGGAAGCATTTTCATGAAAAAAACAAAGACATAAAAGAATACTTTGTTGTACTTACTCCAAGGATGATAGTAGTTTTCTAAAAGCTTCTTACTTAGCTTTTTTGTGTGTGTATTTTTGCTTGGGGATATATCTTATGATTGAACTTTCTTGAAATGACCCTAATGTAGTATTTTCTATCACTTTTGTTATCATAGAAACTGTTGTGGTTGTCAACTGGATTGTCTTCCTAAAGTATGAATCCGGTATATATTGATTGAAGTTGTTAATGGCTACTTCTTTACGGATTCATATGGGGGAACGAATGAAGCACACAGGCCTACAACAAAAAACAAAACACGAAAAAAACAGGAAGGTATCTTTTTTTTTCTTAATCGTTAAATTATATGTCCATATACCCAACTTAAGAAATAGAAACTTTGGCTGGGTGTTGTGGCTCACACTTGTAATCCTAACACTTTGGGAGGCCGAGGCGGGCAGATCACTTGAGGTCAGGAATTTGAGATCAGCCTGGCCAAGATGGCAAAACCCCATCTCTACCAAAATACAAAAACTTAGGCAGATGTAGTGGCATGTACCAGTAATCCCAGCTTCTCGGGAGGCTGAGGCAGGAGAATCTCTTGAACTCAGGAGGCAGAGGTTGCAGTGAGCCGAGATCACGCCATTGTGCTCCAGCCTGGGTGACAAAGATAAACTCCATCTAAAAAAAAAAAAAGAAAAAGAAAAGCTAAGTATGGACTTAATTTCTCTGAGGTTTAAAGCTGCAAAGGTTGCTCTTCATGAAGTAGGTGGGATCTCAGGTGGGCAGTGAAATGTGAGTGGGGTTTGGTCAGCTGGTGGAGGTTGAAGGAAAATTATTTACGTAGGTGAAAAGGAAACACAATCAGGTATCTAGGAAAGAGAATGAGAGATTCAGAGTATACGAGACCAGTTTGAGCTATAACACAAGGAGGGTAAGATTCATGTAGAAGAGTTGTAGGACATAGTGCTGATGTAATAATCTTGTACTCAAACAGTTCTGTGAATTGGTGACAGATTTTATTTCTAGTAAGTAAACTATTACCCCGGATATTCATCTTTCTATGTAAGTGGTTGAGAAACAGGGGAGTAACGGTAAAGAAACTGTTTTAGAATAAATCTGGTGACAGCGGAAGAGAATATGAGACACACTGTGCTCACAGAGCCTAGTAGAGTGTGACAGTAGTTGAGAGCCACGCCGTCATCTTAGAGTGAAGTGAGGAGAACCTACATTGGTTTGGTAGTCCTGGGAGTGGAAGGAGGAATGAAATGTGAAAGCTCATTGGAGGCAGAATCAAAATGGCTTGGTCTTCATAGTCAACTATTAAGTGAGGAGGAGGAATTATTGGCTGACTTAGGAAGAAGTAAATAATGTGAAATGCCAATAAAACACAAAACTTGCCATTTTAGTCAGGGTAAAACTTAAGCATTGTGTGATTCTAGATATACTATTGAGCAGTTTTCTTCCATTTATTTTATATCCCATATCTTTGAGCTATAATCCTATGTCTTTTTTTTTTTTTTTCTTAGATGGAGTCTCGCTCTGTCGCCCAGGCTGGAGTGCAGTGGCCAGATCTCAGCTCACTGCAAACTCACCTCCCGGGTTTACACCATCCTCCTGCCTCAGCCTCCCGAGTAGCTGGGACTACAGGCGCCCACCACCTCGCCTGGCTAGGTTTTTTTTTTTTTGTATTTTTTAGTAGAGACAGGGTTTCACCGTGTTAGCCAGGATGGTCTCGATCTCCTGACCTCATGTTCCGCCCGTCTCGGCCTCCCAAAGTGCTGGGGTTACAGGCTTGAGCCACCGCACCTGGCCTAATCCTATTTCTTTATTTCATAGCCAAACATTTTCTAAATGAACAGCTCTATTGTGATACAGTTTTCATATGATAAGCCTCACCCTTCAAAGTGTACAGTTCAGTAGTTTTTAGTATATTCAGAGTTATGCAGCCATTAGCACTACCTAATTTCAGAAACTTTTCATCTCCCCGTAAAGAAACCCTGTACCCATTAGCAGTCACTCCCTATACCCATATCCCCCACCATTGATCCTGGCAACCTGTGATCTAATTTCTATCTCTGTAGATTTGCCTATCCTGGACATTTCATACAAATAGAATCATACAAAATGTGGCATTTTGTGACTGACTTTTCTTTACAGTGATCAAAAATCAAATGCCTGAAGAGGCTAAGCTTACCATAGTGTTTGCTGTACAACTTTGACAACTGAGCTTTTTTAAACTTGAAAATATTACTGTGTCTGTATATGTGGCATATTATACTTAGATGACCCTTACTTCGATTATTAAAATTTTTTTCCGTAGTATTCTTGAACTGTCTCAATATTTAGCAGGAACCCTTTGGAGACAAAGAGCAGTAAGAACGTGGAACACATATTGACAAAATGAACGTAATTTAATACAGTAGTAGAGTCAACCACTTTTAGGTGTTGATGCTGCTGATAGTGTATATTAAGGAAAAGTTTACTTATCTTAGTTTTTGTGGAAGTACTAGAACTACTTCTGTCTTGTGTTTAGATTTCAACAAACATTTGCATAGTTATTATGTGGTTGTACAAATGTACTTTCTTTTGACCTGAAAATGCAAAAACTTCCTTTCTTCCCACTTTCTGAGACTCTGCAACTTTAAAGGAAGAGTGGAGTGCTTTAAAGGAAAGGCGGTGGTGGCTGGGTAATGGGTAACAATGTCTACCGTATGCTTTCTTTTCTCAAAACAAGTTCCCGTCTACCATCAGCATTTCCAAAATTTGAAGATCAAGTGTGGTATTAACTCATTAACTAATGACTAGACTTTGAGCAGTTGTGGAACCAGAATCTCAGTGAGTGCCTGGATGTTCCAATTCTGTTAAATCAATGAGCGCACATTATATACAATACTCTCTTAGCCCAGTGGCAGATTTAAGGAGTGAGAGATAGATTTCTATGTTTCAGAAATCAAATATACAAAGAAGAAACATTTTTAATCCCATGATTCTTTGCTCGAGTTTAATTTTTTGGAGTGTTTTTCTTTCAGATTTTCTTTCCTTTCCATTAAACTTTCACTTTGAAAGCTCCCAGGGTTTGGGCAAAGCAAATGGGAAAGACACTTGCTTGGATTCTCCAGGGTAATGGAGTTAAAGAGGACTTCTTTCCCTCATTTTGTTATTGAATAATGTCATGATAACAATTATTAAGGTGAATGGTCTACAGTAGAAGTTTTTAGATGCCTTTTCTGCAAAATAATTTGGGTTAGTCAATGCAAGGATGCCTTTGGTTATCTGGAATGGAAGATGTGCAGGCTACAGGGTCTTGGCAAGTCTTCTGGGGGGAAATAACAGTATTTGGAAGGGTAGGAAGCAGAAGGAATCTCAGGCAAGGGAAAGGTGTGGGCAGAGACCTGGAGGATAGAACAGTTCGTGGTGGACTTAGTGTCCACATAGACCTAATCAGTGGTCTTAGCTTTCGTGTTTTCAAAATTACCACAGTTTTTGTTCTAAAACTATCATTCCCTTGATTTTATTTTAGGCATGCTATTTGTGTATTTTGAAATTTAAAATAACATTAAAGGAGAATTGAAATTGTTTTGTTTGAGAAAGAGTTAAAAGGTTAAAACATATTGATCTAAATAATTTTCTAATGGGAGATTTGGTACATCCCTAGAAGTTGTCCTTGGTTCAGAGAACAGTCTTCAGACCTAGAAAGGACTTGAGGAGTCCCAGAGAGGAACTGCATGGTCTGAACCGTTTGATTCTCACAACAGAATGGAGAAAAACAATTCCAACCATGAAGCAATGCGGATGTTCATATATTGAATAGGGTAAGGTCAGTGCCATTGTCAGAGGAAAAACTCTTGGCCATCACAGGATGGGAGAGAAAGTTTCCGTTATAAAGAATACTCAAATGCCATTTAAGGAAAT